CTCCATGTCTGTCAGCAAGAGCTTCAAATAACAAAACTCTTAAATTTGCTTCATTGTCACTGTTAAATTACTTCCTAGTGGTCATCATATGTGTGATTTAAATTTGTTAAGAGGGAATACCTCTGTCATAGTTTTTTGAATTAATATTAAATAACTCATTGTATTTTATCACCTAATTAGAAGTACATTAGAAAATAAAATGTTTTGAAGCATATACCTGTTTTAGTTAAGTGTCTGATGAATATGTAAGTGAACTATTTGGTTGGGAACTAGAATTTACATGTCTAGCACCCTGTGAATGTAAGGTATAGAGAAAAAGTCAGAAAAAATCTTGAATATGATGCTGAGAAATGTCAAAAAAATTGAATATGATGTCCTTGTAATTATGCAGTAGCAACAATATTGTTTATACCATAATGTAGCCATGCTGGAGGCTATTGATGCAAGAAAAGCAAACACGGCAAAATGGTACAGATGGATGCTGAGTCTGCAGAAAGTTAAACTTTTGGAGTCTATGCAATAGGCATTAAATGCTGAGTTGTACAGTTGCTGAAGGTATTCCCAAAAATAAGGAACTTTGCTAGCTGTCTTTATGCATCATAAAGCAAACAGGCTGTAAACCAATGCTAAGACTATGCACAATAACCAAGCAAAAAGTACAACATGATATGTTAAAAAGGTCTGATTTGATTGATTGTAAGAAAGAAAAAACTAAAGGACATGTCCATCCAAATACTATCTAATGTAACTTAGTTTGTTTTCCAAAACATATTCTGTAGGAAATAAGAAGATAAGTAACCATTAAAAGTTGTTGCCATGAGTTGATGGGTGTTTTATGTTAATTAGAATGCATTCAAGGCAATGATACTGCCATGTTTTTGATGCAGGATGCAGAAACAAATTGTGGTTGCAGGTAGGGAAAAACTCTAGGAAAGGTATTGTGAAGTAGACAATGTTAGGCCATAGTAAATGTTGATGTTGCATAAAATAAAGAACTTGTGCAGACAAACCCTTTTGAACCATATATAATTAATATATGAGAAATCAAAGTTGATATAGGAGGTTCATATTAAGAAGAATTCTTAAAAGTTCCAACATTTCAAATTGGTAATGATATAGAAAGAGATTGGTTTTGTTGGTGATTAAAATCATGTAGAAACATTATAATTATCAAGACCTAAAATGTGTAAGTCTTAGTAAGTTAAGGATCAGTTATTTGGATTGTCTACAAATATACAAAAGCAATCTGGATTATGTTTCAAATGTGGATCAGTTATGGTCAATTTATCAGTGAAAGTTTCATACGAAAAATGGATAGACCAAATTCAGAATATCATTGATTGCAAAACAAACATGTTTGATTCATATTACATAATACATAGGTTTATGCATAAGGGAGTACATAAGGTTGTATTAAACAACAGTAGTTAACATAGTTGTGCAGAAGTTTGGAATGAATCCTTACGTAAATGATCTTAACAAAATATTTGAATCTAACACAAAATGAACTACTCACTAAAGAGTCACTCCTTCTTAAGGTGCTTCACCTTGGTTGCTGAATTCTTTGGAGTCAGGATATCATCTTACAAAAAATCATCAGGAAAAGTAGGAACGGCGACCCTCTTAGCCGGTGTGTTGCTAGAGCAAGTGGATGGACTGCAAGTTTGGGTGGCAGAAATTTCTGGATGTGTGTCGCAGTGTTGGCCAGAAGATTGCGTTGGCTAGACAAAACAAAACCAACAGGTCAATATGTTATGCCTGTAGTACACAACAATATATTGGAACTTTTGCAACATATTAAGAAAGAAGACATACAATTGGTTCAAGTTCCGTATCCATAGCACGCTCTGTATCAGTTTTCAAAAAGGAAGCCTTAGAGGTATGCTGCCAAAACATAAGACCAGAAATTGAAACCAGTCAGTTATGTTCAACACATGATAAATTTGAAAGTTTACGCATTAAGAGTTCATTTCCACAACCAAACCGTACCTCATCCGGTTTAAGAGCTTCAGATAATGTTTTGTAAACACCAGGATCGTTAATGATAGTAACAATTGAGAATTGATTGAAAAAAGATTGATATTTGATTCTAAATGCAAGTTGTTGATCCAAAAGTTTGTCTAGGCGCGTGGGATAAATTTTTGGGTTATCCTCTCCAGCCTTGATGAATAATAACATCAGAAATTTAAAGTTGGTGAGTAAAACCATGAATAAGAGAAACATAGTAATCAAATGAATAATGTACTTACCTCCTTCATTACTTGCCTCAATTCCCTAACAGTCATAGTAACATATGGAACACCATCTTTATCCCAAAACACAAAGCATCCAACATGATTATCAAACTCGACTTCTACCTCGATTTTGTATCTATGCCATGAAAACAGAAGCGGTTCAAGTATGTAAAACAGGATGCAAAGTTATAATTGAAGGTATAAAACTAATATAGAAAAATTACTTTGTCACAGGTTCAACATCTTTGAATCCACAAACACACATGAATTTGGTTCCAGTGGACTTGTTTGATGTCTTACAACTGAGGCAAGCATCAAAATACCAGCCCTGCTTTGATGCCTTAAATCTCTTGGTAGTGCCAATGGTTGTGGCAAAACAATCCTAGTTTGACATCACAAAAGTTGGTAGAAATTTGAAGAAATAATTAAGGTTGTAACGACAATTTAAAAGCTGACCTTGCCGATTTCACAAATGTGATGGATACTCTTGACCTCATTAGAGTTTGTCCAACTTTTGTTGCCAGACTGCACAAAGGATTCAGAAGTATGGGTTATAGAATGAGTTGGTGCAGCAGTTGAAACTGTGGATCCTAGCCTGGAAATTTTATGTAGAAACAAAGACAAAGAATGAAATCAAAGTAAACCGAGTTCAGCAAAACTATAGACAAATATCTAACTGTTTAATGTAGGAACATACTTGGTTTTAAAATCGAGAACTTGGGGATGCTCCAAGTTGATGTGGAGTCTTGATTCATTCCATGCATTAGATAGGCTAGGCAATCCAGATGCTGCTTGATAAAATTCAGACATTAAGTTATTGAATTGATAAGCATGCATATGTATCACAGTTCATGCATAATGATGCTTGCATATGTATCACAGTTCCTGCATAATGATGCTTGCATATGTATCACAGTTCCTGCATAACGATGCTTGCATATGTATCCATATTACATAATGATGTTGTTAAGACAATTATTGCATGTGTATCACAGTAAATTTGTTACCTTGATTTTGCTTGCACCATGCGTGTGTTAAGACAATGAGTGTTAGTCCGGGAAACTTGTTGGAGCTATTATAGCTCATGAACTGTTTACCGTAATCATCCCATAACGCAACCTCAATAATATTACCAGCTCCATCTCTTAGAGTGATGTTGGCACATGATTTCTTACCACCACCGCCCATTTGCGTCTTCACAACATCTTGTAAAACCCCGACGACATCTGTAATATATGAGAATGAGAAAAAGTGACAATGTTGACTTCTGTATCATATGTAGTTAATTCAATATCCATTTAGTATGACAAATATCAATATATAACATATGTATAATATGAATACATCTCACCATATAAGAGATCATTGATGAAATTTCTAGTGAGAAAGTCGACAATCGGCTTAAACTTGAATTGGTGTTTCGGTATTTCCGGTATTCGTAATTTCGAAACAGTCGTTCCTCCATTGAAGACACGTTTCAACTTGTTGGGGCAAACTTTAAACGTGCCATCATTAGTCATTGGCTCTCCATTGTAAAGGCAATAAGTCTCATGTTCAGTTAGTTGTTCAGACCAGTCTTTAAACTCACGATTCCGAGTTGTGACATGGATTTGATCACCTTACAAAATGGGTAAATATTCAAGGAAATGGACAATAATAATATAGAAACAGAGCGGGTAATAATTACCTGTGAATCTTGAATCACCATTTCGAAATGTTGCAGTCCACTTTTCTCCTTCACAATCCAAAGATCAACAACTATAATGAGCATTTTCCATACCTGTTTCCCTTTTTCCAAGTCCTTGATGAGTATTGGGGGTCTTGACATGGCTGCTTACAACTTCACAACTGCTTAAATTATTTCTGTGTAAGCAAAAACAATATATTAACAAAAACATATTTTCATGAAAACAACCTGCATACTTTATAGTGTAAAACAAAGAACCTACAATGTATGAATATCAACTTGCAATGTCAACTTGCAAAACAACACCAACTGAAACGAACCAGACACAACTGTTAAAACCACAATGTCAACTTGCAAAACAACAAAAAATACCATGAAACGAACCAGAAGAGTTTGTATGAATCAGAAGCAGAAGCAAAAGCAGTTCCAATATAAACCAATAAACAGAAGCAGAAGAAATGAAAACCCCAAAAAAAGTGAAGAAACGAACCTGAAACAACTTTTAAAACAACAATGTCAACTTGCATAACAACAAAAAATACGATGAAGTGAAGAAACGAATGTAAACAGAAGCAGAAGCAAAGGAAACCAATGTAAACAGAAGCAGAAGCAAAGGAAACCAATGTAAACAGTAGTTAGCAGAACCAGAAGTGAAGAAACGAACCAGCAGAACCAGAAGTTTGATGATGTCTGTGGGGAGGAAGGAGCAATAAAGTGGGAGGACAAGAAGTTTGATGGGTAAAAGTGAAAGTTCAGAAGTTTGTGTGGGAGGAAGGAAACAAAGATTGACAGATGGCAAGAGGAGAGGGGTTGCAAAGAGAAAAATATTGACAATTAGTTGTTTACCATTTTGTCCAAATTGTAGTGTGAAGAATTTCAAAGGAAAGGGCATTGAGGTATTTTTGGTCAATTTTTCTTTGAAGTGTTGTTAGTAACCACATTGAAGGATTTAAGAAAAACCCAAGTAGAAAGAAAAAAAGTGAAAACTCCTTAGAACGGAAGCCCTAACGCACGCGCCGCCGTCTCACAGGGTTTATCTAGGTTTTTTTATCCTATTCATCACCGAGAGAAAGACAAAGATGAGAGGGATTCAGTTACAGTTGAGTCAAACTCAGAAAGTCCGTTTACAGAAGGCTCTAGAACAATTGGAGTCTCTATCTTCAAAGGTGAATTCTGATGCTTCCGTAACCATAGCTGATTCCATTCCCGTCAACCACGAAGACGGTGTACTCAAGGGACATGGAACCGCCGATCTAGAAGGAGAAGTTGTTGCCACTCTCTGTGGAGTCGTCGAGCGTGTTAACAAGCTTGTTTATGTCCGTGCATTGCGGTCAAGGTAATCTTCGTTCTTGACTCTTCCGCTTTATTCAATTTTTTGATTTGTTAATGGAATATAGTGACTGTATCTTAGGTACAAACCAGAGGTTGGTGATATTGTTATTGGGCGTGTTGTTGAGGTATGCTTTACTAGTATAAATTATTCCTGACACTTGTGATTAAATTTAATTTATTCATCTTTCAAATTATTACTGGTATCGCGTTATCGGTATCATGTTGGTGTCAGTGCTTCATAGATTTGCATTGTCAATATTTTGCTCTCGCTGTTCTGGTTTGTGTAGGTTGCTCAGAAGCGTTGGAGACTGGATATTAATTACAGTCAAAATGCTTATCTCATGCTTTCTGCTATGAATATGCCTGATGGTGTACAGGTATTTTAGAACTCCTTTTATTGAGATATCTTTGTTAGTTCTGTAATCTGTATCTCAAAATGGGTTATTTATGTGCTTTTTGGAGTAAGATTTTTAATGTCTTTTGTGTTCATTGTTCAAGAAATTTTATAGTTAGTTCTTTTTTTCTTTTTCAGAAGAAAAAAAAGAAAAAAAAATAGTTTAGTGCGTAGATGACTATCCATCTTGGTCAAATGTGACAGAATTGGAATTATTGATGTGTGTTAAGGGGATTCTGTTTTTGATAGACATGAGCCTTGTTGCTTAGGTATCAATCCTTTCTTGGAAGTATGCATACTAAAGCGTCTAAACACTGTCTATTATGCACTCTGACTTAGGCAAAACAGTTTTTTGTGATTTATCTCCATAGATCATGAATACAAATATATAGGTTGCGGCACCCTGATTTCTAATATTATTGAGTGGAAGAATGGATCAACAAGAGGCAGTTATCTATTTAGTAGTTTATCCTTTAAAATAGTAATGAGTATAAACGGTTCATAATGAGTATATCATTTAATTAATTGGATTTCTAGTTAATTGCTTATAGGATATTTTGCAACGGTAAAACATGAGAATTGTTCATTGGGACAGATTTTGGGATTTTGGGAAGCTTAGTTGCAGGGGAAAGTTCCCCGTTGTTAATGTTGATCTTCCTGTTTCGGTTGTAGTCTAGACTGACGTGTTGGTTGAACAGCAAGTATTATTTATGACTTGAATTGTTTATTTTGTTTGTGTCAGTATTTGATGTTTTCGTAGAGTTGGTAAATTGGGTTAGTGTTTATTTCGAAAGAAATGTTATTTAAAGTTTTAAATTTCAAAGAAACTAATAGATCAAGGTTGGGGTGGGGTACAAATGCCAATTGCAAAACAATTGTTGTCACCACTTATCAAGCAGTTAAGTTCTTTGAAGTTTTGATAAATGCTAACTTGCGCCTTTTTAAAGAACTGAATATAGAAATATTCTCTTAAAAGGCCGACATTCAATTCTTTTAAATTTTGAAAGTTGGCTTTTCTCATACAAAAGCTCTACTTAAGTATTCCTTGACGTATGCCCTTAGAACACAAGTTAGTAAGACCCCCCCTTTTTTTATAGTATACATTTCACATTGTTAAATGTATTTCCAATTAAGCTTGAATTGAAACCCCCTTATTCAGAATTATTCTTTCTACTGCTAGAGACGAAGGACAGCTTTAGATGAGTTGAATATGCGCTGTATTTTCGAGGAGGCAGATGTCATTTGTGTAAGTGCAATCATGTTTATTAAAATTTACTTACTTTTGATGAAGTAGATAACTAGTGAGAATCCTAAATCCTAAATTATGTGCATGTCCATAGGCCGAAGTTCGGGGTTTTCAACATGATGGCCTACACCTTCAAGCAAGAAGTAAAAAATACGGAAAGGTTTGTAGTCTTGAAAACCTTGTGGAACATTTTTTTTTATTGATTTGCTTCTTATTTCCCCCCAAAAAATGATACAAATATTAAACTACAATGCTTACTACTACCTACTTAACTTGGATCTTAACATTTATTTCATTTACTCTCTTCAGTCTTTAACTACTTGGTTACTAATGGCTTTCAATTATATCACAGCTTAGTACTGGTCAATTGGTTACGGTCACACCATATTTAGTGAAGAGACAAAAACAACATTTCCATCATATAGAGGATTATGGTATTGATCTAATACTTGGCTGTAATGGATTCATATGGGTTGGGGAACATATTGAATCTAGAGATGACATGATAGAAGATCAAGTGAACCAATCTAATCCACAAGTTTCAAGTCTTGAAGAACAAGAGAAAAACTATACCTCACTGGAGACTAGAAAATACATATGCAGGGCTGCTAATGCTGTTAGAGTATTATCTACTTTAGGATTCATTATAACATTGGAAATCATCAAGGGAGTTGTTGATCTAAGCCTTTCTGCGAATCTTGATATACACGACATGCTTGGTTCCGAGTTCTGTGTTCTCGTCGCTGAAAAAGAGGCCGAAAGGAGAAGCTCAAATAAAAAGAGGCGGTAGACATTCTAATTGCGGCAAGTTTTGATCAACTGCGACTATACTTTGTTGCATGAGACTAAAAGTTGGATGAGCTTCTTCTTTTATGTTAAAGTTCTTGAACCTATAGGAGATGTGGGGTTTTCTGATTGGTCGTCGTCACCTTGCTTTTCAGGAGTGAAACCTACCAGCTCATGTGTGTATTCTATGCCATAATCTTGTATTCAAGGTTGTCTTTGTGGATCTTGCTCTTGTACACTGAATTTGTGGCAAAATTTGTATTGATTTTTTCATACTTTTTCTTTCATTGGAAACGTAGACAATGAATATTGTAGTGGTCTAAGTTGTTTTAACGCACACTGTTGGCACAATGAACATTGTTAATGACTATGCTGCAAGATTGCTTCCCTTTTGTCATGGGTTGTCTCTCTCCATCATATTTACCTTCAGAGTTCCATTGCATATGCAAATTATTTTACTGTCCCCAACTTCTTAAACCGTATTTATTAGGCCTATTAATAGTATTATTATTATTATTTTAAAATGCTGATGCAATTTTTTTTTATGATATGGCCTTGTGTGAACTCATACTACATTTATGTGAATATTTGTGCCTAAATATTATAAATAAATAAAACAAATAAATGATAAATAAAGTCATGATTATTTATAATTATAAAGTCGATGATATTTCATCCACAATAATAGAAAAGATACCAGTAGGATATATGAGAGGTACTTATATGAGAGTAAGAGATAGATGTTTGAGTATAGGTAAAGTTATATTAGAGTGCTTTAATTTTTTTTTTTAATATATTGGTCATTTAAGGTTTTTTTTTTAATAACAGGATGGTCCTTTAAGTTAGTTAACTAATTCGGGTACTGTTGACAATTTTTTTTTAAAATTTTTTTAAAAAAATGTTATGTGACATTAATGTCGTTGATGTGTTAGTTAACGTTACTGAGTTGGTATTGTCTTCTTTATTATATTTTTGAGAAAAAAAAGGGAAGAAATTGAAATTCATAAAGCAACGAACTCTAATTCTCTCTTCTCCATCAATGACTTCATACATTAACAAATGACCAAATCGACAAAGTTAGAACTCTCAATCCTTCATTTCGAGTGCATCCCAACCTGAAATCGAAACAACATGTCCGTGTGAAGTAAAAGCAATGATAAAAACAATTAAGAAGCAAGGAAGAAACTTTGGGAAGCTCTTTTGGGGTTGCAGATTGTAATACCCCGTATTTTTTAAAATGCTCTAAATAATATTAATTGAGATCAATTGGGTTCCGATGTACTTTGAGAGTTATCTGTTAGATAGGGTTGGTAGATAGAAATGATAAATGTTAGGTTTTGATATGTGTTGATTCTAATATCATGAAATTTATGTGAATATGATACTAACCATGTTTATTGTGTTGTTTTATGGTTGTAATTGCTATTGTCATGTTGATTTTGAATTTGGGTTGAGGTGGGGGATTGAAAATCCCTTTGAACTACAAAGGTTATGCAGGTCAAAATCCTGGGAACACAGAGCTCGCACAACGAGCCAGTAGTGAGCCAACAGCGACCATGACAGTCTGTTACGCTAGCACTGCGAGCTTCCAGCGAGGCGTATGCGAGACCTCGCCTAGAGCTCACACAACGAGCCTGGCATATTTTTTTCCATTTGTTTTGTTGCTTCCTTAGTTGCTTAATATGCATGTTTATTGTTACTATGGGTTGTTTACATGATTATTATGCATGCTTACCAGGAGTGTTTGGTTGATTATGGAAGGTGATAAAATATGGGAAATAGTATAGAGAAAGTGAGGAAAACCTTATCACAATTTAATGGAATGAACTAGTTATGTAATTAGGAAATGATAGATGACTTAGATGACAATGCTCGTGCATTTGACGCCTAGGTGTGCATCATTGACGAGACATTATATGGAGCATGTGTGGATGTTGTGTTTCTTTGTGAATAAGGCGTATGTGGCCTTGTGATTGTCGAATACAATCACATTTGTGTATAAGATCACGTAGTCAGAACCAATCCCTTAAGTTGTGTCGTTATGAGAGTGGAGGCTTATATAGAGAACTTCTTCAAAATGTACACACTTTTACTTTGACTCTCGTTGTACGAATGAGAGCTTCACAAGTTTGATTCCCGTTGTACGAATGAAGCCTACAAATAAAGAGACTTGTGATGGGGTACGACTCATGAGAAGTGATGATTCATGTGGACTATGTTTCTCTTAGATCCGAATACATTTTGTATGTCAAAGTACTTTACAAGGATCCACGACTCGTGCTAATCTCCTAGGCGTAGGAGAGGACGGGAAAAAGGGATTCTTTGGCAAGGTTTCCGATTAGTGATAGTTTGAGTTGTTGAACTCAAGCAACATATTTCCATATAGTGTAAAATTGTGAACTCAAGTCTTGTCCCTTCCCTTTTTACTTGAGTTAGGATTAGTTAGAACTTTGTAAAGCCGAGATAATCCATAAGATAGGGAACCCATTATGATTATTATCTCACCCCATGTTGTTGAATGTTTTTCAGGTGGTTCTAGTTTTGTGAAGGGTAAGAATAAGGTCGTTTAATATCTATACTTTCCTTGGCTTTTTGGGATGGCATTTCCGTTGCGAAGACTCCACTTTGAGATCATTTGATATGACCTAGTTCTTAGACGTTTTTGGCACCTTGTGTATATTATGCCTTTGTTTTAGATGTTTAGTTTTGGCATGTATATACAATGTGTTACTAGGATCTTATGTGTATTTCAATAACAATTTGCAAACATGTATAATATGTATCTTCTAGACATATGTATTATATATGGATATTACAGTTGGTATCAGAGCAGGTTGTATCCTCGACCTAGCCATGGAATATTATGAGTATTTTTTTCTGCTTCATATATATACTGACATCATCGTTCTGGATGTTATATTAATAATATTGAGCCTGGTCAACTTAATTCTATTTATATAGCGTTTAAGGACATGGTGGACGGATGCAAAATATGTGGTAGACCAGCAACTCAGATATCTGATTCGAATCCTCCGGGTGGTAGTGAGAATGTTCAATGGCCTCAGTTTGTGTAATAGATGCAGCATCAACAAAACTAATTCATGCAGCAGATGATGCAGCAACTAAATGAAGGTCTTCATTTTCCAGTGATTGCCCCAGAAGCTGCATGTGGGAGTTTATAGGTTTTCTTTCGCATGAATCCTCAAGAATATCATGGCGGATTAGATCTAGTGAAGGCTCTTAAATGGGTGTATGATATGGAGAGAATCTTTCTGGTAATGCCTTGTAGTGAGGAGAACAAGGTGATGTTTTCTGAACAAGTATTTCCCTAGCTCTTTGAGGACTCAAAAAGACTTTGAGTTCTAAAAATTAAGATAAGGTAATATGACGGTGGCTACTTATACTGACAAGTTTGAGAACATGGCTGCTTACTCTAGGAAAACTATGTATGCTCTAGATTAGAAGTGGAAGATCGATTAGTTTCCATTTGGTTTGAGGGATGAAATATCTCATAGTGTGTCTCAGAGGGAGTTCACTACCTATGCTGAGTTACTAAGGCAGTGTTACATAGTTGAGAATAGTCTAAGGAGAGTCTAAAAAGAGAGGAATGTGAGTTGGATTGGTCAGAGAGATAAGGGAAGACCAAGTCACCAGTTTAGGCCTAGACCACAACCCTTCAAAGGGAAACAAGTGTAGGGTGCTATACCTAACACCCTCCCTCATGTCGTATGTATGGTAAGAATCATTATGGGAGTTTGTCGTTGAAGGAGCGAGATGTTACCAATGCCAAGGAACGAGTCATATGTTTAGAGAGTGTCCTCAGAATAAGAATCAGATGCAAGGGAAGAATACGATCGCGATTATACCTTGGATGCAAAGAAGGCTAAGGATGACAACTCTTTGATTGTTGGTACATGTTTCATGAATGGACATCATTGTTTTGTATTGTTTGATTGTCGATCCACGCACTCTTTTGTGTCAATACAATGTATGAAATGACTTGGGTTGAAAGAGATTCATTTGTCTCCTTCCATGCTGGTTACTACCGCCATGCATGATGTTGATGAGACATCGCTGATTTGTGAAAAAAATTTCATTATCGGCGGATGATTAAGTTTTCCAGATTGACCTTATCTATTTACCGCTTAATAAGGTTGATGTTGTCTTGAGGATGAATTGGCTTTCTATTAATTCGGTGTTTATAGGTTGTGAGGGGAAGTTGATCATCATCCCAGCCAATGAAGCTACTCCGAAGGATGTGTTAATTACCATCTTGGAAGGTACGGTTGCTATGGTTAATTTCTTATTTGAGAAGGAGAAGTCTGTTCTCTTAGTTCTCACCCAAGAGAGAAGTGATGATCTAAAGGTTTTCCAAATTCCTTTAGTTTGTGAGTTTCCAGAAGTTTTCCCCAAGGATTTCACTTCTCTTCCTCTAGTGAGGGAATTAGAATTCTCCATTGATCTGGTAACGGGAATGACTCCTATATCTATTTCTCCATATCGGATGGCACCACTCGAGTTAAGAGAATTGAAGGAACAGTTGGAAGAGTTATTGGCTAAGCATTTCGTTCGACCTAGTGTCTCACCCTGGGGAGCCCTAATACTACTAGTAAATAATGACGGTGGAATGCGTTTGTGTATTGATTACCGCAAATTGAATAAAGTCAGCATAAAAAACAAGTACCCCCTACCCCGAATAAACGACCTGTTAAATCAATTTAAATGAGCTTGTGTGTTCTCGAAGATTGATTAACGACCGGGTTACCATCAAATTCGTGTGAAGAGTTCAGACATACCAAAGACTGCATTTAGAACCCGTTATGGCCATTATGAGTTTCTTATGATGCCTTTCAACGTGACGAATGCTACAACTGTTTTCATGGATTACATGAAGTGGATATTCCAACCTTACTTGGACCAATTCGTGGTGATCTTTATTGATGACAATCTCATTTATTCTCGTACTCCAGAAGAGCACGAAGAACATTTTAGAATTATTCTATC